CAGTTCCAGTTCCTGCTTGCTCTCGATTGCCAGTTCCAGTTCCTGCTTGCTCTCGATTGCCAGTTCCAGTTCCTGCTGGTTTGACATCAAAACCTTTGCTTACTAGGTTTCTATTGTCGGCACTTTGCCAACTATTACCCGCTCCTCCGGTTTTTTCCTCTACTTGAATAGTATCATTATTATTACAAACTACTTCCAACCCATTATTTTCCTTCAAAACTAACACATCCGGCATTTTTTTAGGTTTATCACTAATCATGACGGCACCATGCATCATTTTCGGTCCTCTCTCATCCTCTATTTTACAATTGTTAAAAGTCACTTGAAAAGTTTTACCACTTTGAAAAGCAGTTTTAAATTGACTACTTTCCTGTCCCACGAAAAATATTTTTTTAATTTCAGCCTTTTCATTACCCTTGCCCGTCGGAAATTCTAAACTATTAACTTCAATTTCGAGACCATTATCACCAGTATTATTAATTTTTGTTATTGTAAATGTAATTTCTTGATTTGCCATATTATTGTATAATTTTTATTTTTTTATTATTTATTACCTTCTTTATATATTTATTTTACTTTATTTCTCACCAATTTGTTCTAAATTTTTTCACCTTAATCTATTTTAGTATTTTTAACCCGGGACCCATGGTAGTAGAAAGAGTAATATTTTTCAGAAAATCACCTTTCCAACCGGTCGGCTTTAACTCAGTTATCTTATCATACATTATTTTATAGTTCTCCTCTAATTGTTTGGAACTAAAATCACAACTACCAATTACGGCGTGAATATTGCCGCCCTTATCGGTTTTTACTTCGATTTCTCCTTGCTGAAATTTCTTGATTTCTTCTAATATGTTTTCGGTTAATGAGCCGTTTTTTTTAGTTGGGTAAAGACCCTTGGGACCTAATAATTTTTGTAGTGGCTTAATTGCTTCTTCGCAGGCTGGATTGGCTAATATTTTAATAAAACCTCATTGTGATTTCTTTTTGTTCTCCACTTTTTGCCGAACTTCGGCGACCGTTAATAATTCTACTTCCTTAATATTTTGACACTCTTTCAAAATATCTTCTGGCAACCCTTCTTTGATTACTGCAACTTTTCTTTCATTTTTAACTGCGTGGGGTAAAGTTAACTTAGTTTTTAGCACCACCTTTTGATTAATTCAATGGAGGGAAAAACTGGCTTTGATGTTTTTTAATCTTTCGGGATTGTTATTTCGCAGAAAGTCCACTGCTTCGGCTAAATTGTAGTGCTTATTATCAGCAATTTTCTCTTTAATTTCACGATAACGACGGGAATGACTCATTGTATATTAATATTATTTTACCTTTATATCTGTATCTGATAAGTTATTTAATTCCTCTAATAAATGTTGATTAAGGTGGACTAATTTATGGGAACAGGTCTGAATTCGGATGAGATAATAAATGAAAAAGAAAAAGTGAATTATAAAAAAAACTAATAAAACTCAATCAAAAATACAGGAAAGTTTGATCCACCCATTAGCATTGGACCAGCCAATTTCCTGAATTTTTTTTATTCCCGAATAATTTGTTTTAAATGAAAATACTGCATAAAGTCCGGGTCAGACAAGCATATTTAAAAAACATTTGTCCCTTTCCTTCTCTCAATAGGTTTTCCTTCGCAATATCTTAATTAATCGATTCTTATCCATAGACTATATTTTTTAATGGCAATAACTCACCACACCGAAATAACTCTCTAACTCCCCCTCTACAAAACCATTTAATAGAGTTAGCCAA